GGTGTTGCTGATGTCAGTAACACGTGTGGGACTGTGCTATAATTACAGCTAATGAACCAGCAGGTCTGTTGCTCATCTCAGGAGAAAATTCTTTTCTACTTCACCCACTCACTGCTATAAAGAGAAACATCCTCCAGCCTCCTCCTGTTTTTTAGACTTTCTTCCAAACCAGCTGCTACCAAGTTCTGGCTCCAGCTGAGCAGAGAATAGCCCCCATTTGCACAGCAGCACTCATGAGGCCTGGGCCACAGCTCCGGACACTGAGTGACAAATAACATCCCACCTCCTGGGCATCAGGGGGACAGCCAGGGGTGCTCTGAAAGCAGCAGCTCTGCTCAGCACTGTCAGTTGCTGGCCCTGAGCTGCTCCTGCAGCAGGAGCTGCAGAGCTCTGAGCAGCCCTGTGAGGGCAGGGGGCCGTACCGTTGACGCCGTAGCGGCCCTCGTCCAGCTCCCGTTCGATCTGCCAGCCGTGCTTGTAGTCCGAGCGGTCGTGCAGGAACTTGCAGCTGTCTGAGCAGCACAAAGAAAGAGGAAATAAGAGACAGGCTGAAAAGGCAGAGTGTTATCAGGACACCTAATTCCAGGGCAGACTGGGCTTTGCCCAGCTGAGAAATCTGATTGCTCCTTCTCCAGGGCAGCACTAAGCTCCTGGAGCAGGTACAGATCCCTCAGTGCTGACAGGCTGTGAGCATCATCCTCTCTGTGCCACAGGGACAGTTCAGCAGTTATGCACATGGGAAGTGGGACAAGGAACAGGAAAACCCATCCCTCACATGGTCTCAGTGCACACTATGCCTGTAAGAATGTGGGTCACTGGAACATCCAGGGGTCCCCTCCAGGACTCCTATAACCACTAGAGGCCCTGGGCTTTCAGAAGGGATGGCACAAATGACAACCTTACACAAACAGCTCTGCACAGAAGGGTGTGTGACTCAGCACCCCAAACAGGGGGTCACAGCTGGAGGGGATGCCCTGGCACGCCTGGTGCTCAGCTGCAGGCAGGAGGCACTCACCCCCAAAGCCACAGAACCCAGTCTCTTTGTAGTCCTTGCAGATGTCGGGCTGGTAGTCCCAGCGCACCGTGGCCCGCAGGTGCTCCGGAGCACGGATGGGGCCTTTCCTGGAAGGGGAAAAGAGATCCTTTCCTTTCAGCCCAGCTGCAAAGTGGCCCTGGAGCAGGGCCCAGGCCAGAACCAGACCCCACACTGCTCAGGCAGAAACTGGCAGTGAGAGCAGAGTTCCAGCCCCAAACGCTGCCTTTGGGATGGTGCCTGAGCTCCTCTGCGGTCACAGACCCCGAGGCTCATCCCAACCCACCTCACCATTCCTGAGGAGGCATTTCCCATCGATGTGTCCTTGGGCTTCACATACTTCTGGTAGTTGTTAATGCCACGGTAAATTTTATCGTCTTCCTTTCCTCTCAGCTCCTAGGAAAGCAAGAAGAGATAATTAAGGATCAGGAGAGCTTCAGGACATGAATTAATTGCCACCACTCTGACACCAGTCTTCCTTAACACCAAGATGCCAATAAAGCCACAAAACTCCCCTATTTGCAAAGGTTACACTCCTGGCTCCTTGAACTTCTGGGAAGATGAGACTCAACTCTTCTTGGTGTGCAGAAGGGGATGAGCAAAGCACAGGCTCTTCCTGCTGCAGAGCAAGGCTGACTCACCTCCTGAATTTTCTGGCTGCGCTCAAAGATGGCCTGGGCATCCTTCTCCTTCTCTGTGTCCAGTTCATACACTGCTGTGGCTCCCATGTCTTCTGGGCCAACAGGTTTCTGAAAAGCAAGGAAAACTCGTGGCAAGAGTGGAGGGAACACCTGGACAAGACAGAGAGCTCCTGTCTACCTGAAGGGCTGTCACAGAGCAAGAACTGGACATGTCTGCTTTATCCCTTGGCATTTGCCAGGGAGAATTCACCACAGGCTCCAGCCTAGTGTGTGCAGAGGCCAGAGTGCTAATTCCTCATTGCTCCCAAATGTTAGCCTGAAGTCAGGGAACACTTATTTTACTCCTTTACACTCAGGCCCAGCTCAGCTGGAAGCCCCACTCAGTTCACCCATGCCACCCAGTTCAGGTGGGTGTCAGTTCACCCAGCACTTCAATCACAGGACCCTCCTGCCCACACACAGGATGTTACTGAGCTTCTGACCCAGCTGGGATGGCCAAAATTCACTTTCAACACACTGATCTGGTTTAGATTCCTCTTTAATGGACTGAACAGATACCTATTCCTAGCTTTTATCACATCTTCGAGAACAGCTGCACAGAAACCAGAGAATAATTACAGCCAGCCTCAATTAGACAGAAATCCAACTTAGGTGCCAGAAGCTTGCAGAGTGACAAAGCTGTCACCTCCTCCCAGCCCTTCCCATTCTCTCCAGAAGGTTGGCCTCCCTTGGGAGCAGCCAAAGAACACAAACCCAACAGCTGAGCAAACCTGATCCAACTGCTCCCTCTCCTGAAAAGTCCCTGCAGTGTTGGGCAAGTCCAGTGGCATCCTGGAGTTTTAACTCCCACCTCCAAAAGGGAAAGGCCAACCTTTGCTGGCCTCCCGTGGAGGGAGGGACTCTCAGAGTAAACCCAGCACAAGGTGCTTGGCTTGTAAGAGGGGACAGGGAGGTGCACTAATAAGAAAGAATGTCCACTCCCATGTTTAGAGTGGCAGATTCTGTCTGTGAGGAGAGGGATCCCCAGCCCCACCTGAGCTGACACCCCAGGCCCCCTGCTGCCTGTCCTTACCGCCGACCTGGTGGATTTGTAGGTGACCCCGATCTCCTTGGCAGGATCCTCATCCTCGCTGCTGCTCACTGCGTACTCCGGCCTCTCCCTGGTGCAGCGCCTGGTCTGGGGGGAGGAAAGGCTCCAGCGCTGTCCTGCCCGAGCCTGGCAGGGCCCTGCAGCTGCTCCCTCGGAGCTCCCTTACCTTCTGGATCATGGGGTTGGGGGTGTCCCGCCGCCGCTCCTTGCGCACCACGGTGCTGCCCTCCTCCCCGCTGCTCTCTGCGGGGAAAGCCCGGCGTGAGGGGCACGGCCCAGGCCCGAGGCAGCCTGGGGACACCCAGGGCAGACCCAACAATGTCCAAAGGCTCCCGGAGCTCGGGCAGCGTCCGACCGCCTTCCAGAGGAAGCACTTTCTAATATCCAACCCAAATCCCGTGTGGCACGGCTGCAGGGTCCTTCACGCCCCCGGGCTGGGGAGGGCGGCCAAGCCCCCGTGAGGGCGGCACCAGGCCCTCCCTCTCCTCCCCGCGGCACCGCACCGGCTCGGCTCCCCGCGCCGCCCGGGTCCCCACAGCCCTCACCCTGCTCCTGGTCGCTGCCGGGCCGTTTTCGCCGGCCGCTGCCCGCGGCGCGGACCCGCTTCTTGAACACAAAGCTGCAGACGCCGCTCTCCTCCGCCATCCTGTGCCGCCGAGACCGCGGAGCTGAATGGAGCGGCGCCGGAGCGGGCAGCGCCCCCTGCGGGCCCGGAGGACTCAGCGCCCCGGGCGGGGCTGGGGGTCCCGGGGATGCTCCGAGGCCCCCGAGCCCCCCGGAGCCCGGCTCTGAACCCCGCTGTGAGCTCGGCTCTGAGCCCCCCGGAGCCCGGCTATGAGCCCGGTTCTGAACCTCGCTGTGAGCCCGGCTCTGAGACCCCCGGAGCCCGGCTCTGAGACCCCCGAAACTCGGCTCTGAGCACCCCGGAGTCCGGCTCTGAACCCAGCTCTGAGCCTCCCGGAGCCCTGCTCTGAACCCCGCTGTGAGCCCGGCTCTGAGACCCCCAGAGCCCGGCTATGAGCCCCTCTGTGAGCCCAGAGCCCCCCGGAGCCCGGCTCTGAACCCCGCTGTGAGCTCGGCTCTGAGATCCCCGGAGCCCGGCTGTGAGCCCGGCTCTGAGACCCCCGGAACCCGGCTCTGAGACCCCCGAAACTCGGCTCTGAGCCCCCCGGAGCTCCGCTTTCTGCCCAGCCCCCTTCTCTCTGCACAGCCCCCTGCCCTGCACAGCCCCTTCTCTCTGCACAGCCTTCCATCTGCGTGTGGCTGTCCCACCGCTGGCTCACATCTGGAGTGGAATTCCTCATTTATTCGCACCCGATGGCAGCCAGCCTGATCGGCACCGACGCTCTTTGGGCAACGCAGAGATGGTAAATTGCACCACTGCTCTCTCCTTGTCCAGCAATCACTCCCGTGAACTCCTCAGTCGTGGGGGTTTTTTTGTACAGGGAATTTCAGGCAGACTGCACACAGAACACCTGTCTCTGCAGCTGGGCTCAGGCTTCGGGCCACCTCCAGCCAGCGTTTGGCTCTTTCCAGTGGCATCACACTGTGTTCAGGAGCCAAACAAGAGTATTTGTTCCAGCATCATCATCATTTTCAAAGATACTCCCATCACTCCGTTGTATACTTTCCTCCATTTATGGCCCAGTGGAGGGCTATGAGAGCTTAAGGTAAAATCCTCAGAGCTACAGGTTATTGCTGCCTCTCTCCTGACTCATGGCCATTCCGGCTTCCTCGGCTGGCGTGAAACCACCTCCAGGTTTTAACTATCAATATTTATACTTATTTCCCATGTTTTGCCGTGTTCATGGGGAAATCCCAGCCCTCCAAGGGAAGCTGCTCTTATAGCCCAGGCAGTGTTTTTGCTCGGCCCACGGGACCCTGCTCTGGCAGATCCACCTTGCACAGCCCCGCTCCCACGCTCGGCTCATCAGCTCTGCATGGAATAACCCTGGATTTCTGAAACCACCGCAGATCAGCTGTACCCCTTGGAGGGTGAGCAGTGGGGAGCACTGGAACCCTCCTCTCCTGCTGCTGCCTGATAAGATCCTTCCTGTACAAGCAGCGAGCTGAGGTGTGGGAAATGTGCAAAAAGGCTTTTGCAGACGCTGGAGGGATGGATCCTTTGGGATGCTCCAGGATCCCTTACCGGGGTGGGTGAGTGCCACGCGGGGAGAGCCGTGTCCAAAGCTTGGGGCGAAGCCAACCTGCACTCGCAGCTCACGGGAGAGAGGCGCTAATTACCGGGGGGGTTAATTGCACCCTGTGCCAGAAAGCAGAAGGGTCGCTCCGGGGCCGGCGCTGCGGGGTCGGGGAGGCTGCGGGCGACCAGGCAGAGAGGGAGCGGGGAAGGTTTGGGGTTAGAGGTTGGCTCCACACAAAGGAGCGAGCGGCTGGGAGCCGGCTCGGCGCCGGGAGCCAATCGCTGCCGCGGCCCCGCGATAAAAGGGCTCGGAGCCGGCGCGGGCAGCGCAGGAAGCGGCTCCGCTGCACGGCCGCGGCCTCTGCGGCGGGACACGGGCGGCACGGCCCCGGCACGGCACGGCACGGCCCCGCCCTGCGGACCCTCCGGTGAGCTCAGCTCGGGGGCGGCGGGAGGCGGCTGCCAGACAATGCCGGCCGCGGCAGCGGGGCTCGCCCGCACCGGGGCTGCCCGATCGCCGGGCTGGGCGAGCGGGGCGAGCCGGAGCGAGGGGCGGGCGGGCGGGGGGCAGCGATGGAGAGGAGCGGGGAGAGCCCCGGGGAGCGGCTGCGCTGCTCGGGAGCCGCCCCGGGCTCGGTCCCGGGCTGGGTCCCGGCCCCGGATTCGGTCTCGGTTCCGGTTCCGCAGCACCGGACTCGGTGTCGACCCCCGGGCTCGGTCTCGGTCCCGGCCCCGGCCCCGCGCCCCGGGTTCGGGCTCGGTCCCAGATTCTGTCTCGGTCCCGGTTCCGCAGCACCGGACTCGGTGTCGACCCCCGGGCTCGGTCCCGGCCCCGGCCCCGGGTTCGGGCTCGGTCCCAGATTCTGTCTCGGTCCCGGTTCCGCAGCACCGGTCTCGGTCCCGGCCCCGCGCCCCGGGTTCGGGCTCGGTCCTGGCCCTGCGCCCCGGGTTCGGTCCCGGCCCCGAATTCTGTCTCGGTCCCGGTTCCGCAGCACCGGTCTCGGTCCCGGCCCCGCGCCCCGGGTTCGGGCTCGGTCCCGGCACCGCAGCACCGGGCTCGGTCTCGGTCCCGGCCCCGGGTTCGATCTCGGTCCCGGTCCCACAGCACCGGGCTCAGTCTCGGCCCCCGCGCTCCGGTCCCGGGCTCGGTCTCGGTCCCGGCCCCGCGCCCCGGGTTCGGGCTCGGTCTCGGTCCCGGGTTCTGTTTCGGTCCCGGTCCCGCAGCACCGGGTTCGGTCTCGGTCCCGGTCCCGCAGCACCGGGCTCGGTCTCGGCCCCCGCGCTCCGGTCCCGGGCTCGGTCTCGGTCCCTGCCCCGCAGCACCGGGCTCGCCCCCGGTTCCGCAGCACCGGCGGCTGCTCGGAGAAGGAGGTTCGGAAGGCGGACAGCGGGGCCGGGGAGCGGGGCGAGCTCCCGTGCCCGAGGCAGCCCCGGGAGAGGGGTCGGTAGCAGGCCCGTGCGGGGGGGATGCGCTCCGGGGGTGCGCGTTTGGGGGGTGTTTTTTCAGCTCTAGTCCCCTCTTTGTTGTCTGGACAGATCCGTTTTATTAAGCTGATCAGAAAGAGCGGAGACGGAAGGAAAACCTGTTAGATCCCGACTCCTTGTCCCCCTTGGGTAATGCCTGCCGGCTCCCGATGGTGTGGCTCCTGCCGCCTCATCCAGCCTGCGTTTAAACCTTTCCAGCCACAGGTCTTTCATCACTTCCCTGGGGAGGCTGTTGCATGACTGTGAGATTTAATAGCAACACAAATGCCCTGGGCTCTGACATAGCCCTTAACAGGCAGGGATCTCCCAGGGCTTCACAAAGGAGAGCAGCTCTGTTTTCATCGAGGGGAGGGGGGAAAAGGGGAACAGAAAAAATGAAATTATTTCTCCACTGGCACCCAAAATTAGCAGCAGATTTAGGAATGAAGCCCAGGTCTCCCAAGTCCCACTCTGGTGCTGTAACTACTTACTGTGTTTTGAACCAGCCTGATCTGTCTAATCCCCTTGGATCACTTCAAACAAGCTAAGATACCTTATAGATCATATTTATGATCAATTTTCTGCTGATTTTTTTCATGGTGTGGGTATCAGTTTTGTAAAAAATCTGATAATCCAGCCTTGAAAATTGGGCTTTGTCTGCCAAAGACGTCGTGTGAGGGCTCTCACAGGGAAGACATCTGGTGCCTCAGCTGAGCTGTTGTGTGTTTAAGGCCAGGAGTAGCACATCTGCAGCTTTATTAATGTAGATTACAAAATAATTGCAGGGCAATCGACCAAGTCTGACACAGCCACAGTGTAAATGTCCTTTTTAAATGGGAGTCCTGCAAGAAGCAAATTCCCAGTTCCAAACTGAGGGTCTGTCAGAACCAGCCTCTTGGGCTTTGCAAAATGGGAGATGCATCTTCCTTCTTACACAGCCTAAACCCAGGTTCCTGACCCTTTTTTGGTCAGCAAAAATCCCAGGAGACTTCTCATTAGGGAAGGGAATTCCTCATCTTATTTCCTTCAGTGGGTAACTCCTGGGAGTCTTCAACTGCCCCTCTAGCCCTGGAGGGTGATGAAGTTTTTCTTTTCCTTTTCTCCCACCCTCAGCTCTTGCAGGGTTTTGCCAGGCAGCTGCCATGTCCCCCCCAAGACATGTCTGCTTTTCCCTCCCAGTTAAGTCATTTTTATCTGCCATCTGGGGGTGTTGCAGTGCTTACCTCGCTCTTAGCAAAAGCCCTGGGATGGAAAACATTAAATCTGGACAAAAGGATTATTGCAATATCAGTGTTAAGCACACTTTAGACATGTTTCTCACTCCTGTGGTGTGCCCATAACCCTCTCCATATGTCCAGCTCGGGTTTTTCAGTGGCAAGATGCCTCAGCTTCCTCTGATGTGCCTCTCCAGGGATTACTTTTCCTGGCACACTCATTGCTCCACTGCAATCTTGTGGATTTCAGAGAACCAGATCCTATGCTGGGCTCTGTGGCACCTTGGGTCCTAAAAGGAAGGATAGAGATGAAGGCTGAAAATAGCTGGGGCAGCTCAAAAAGAATGATATTTGGAGAGATTTAACTACCAATATGATTTTGGTTGTGTTTTCTTGTACAATCTGCATTTGGACAGCAAACAGTGGTTTTTGTAAGGCTTGTGTGGAGGCAGGGACCATGGAAAGAGGCTGTGCTGTGTTTTGGAGTGCCTGGAACTGGACCCACTCCTGCTCTTACTGCAGGTGATGAAACAGCAAAAGCTTTTTGTGGGGTCTCTAGGGCCCAGGAGATGGGCTCACCCCATGGAATCAGAGAATCCTTCGGGCTGGAAAAGCTCTCTAAGATCACAGTGTCCAACCATTCCCACAGCACTGCCAAGGCCACCCCTAACCATGTCCCCAAGTGCCACCTCCCCGTGGCCTTAAACCCCTCCAGGGATGGGGACTCCACAGGAAATGCCAGTCCAGAGTCTGGTGAGGAACAGGTGATATTCCACAAGAGGAAATCAGCCAGGGCAACACTGCGAGGCTGTGTTAGAGCAAGGAGGAAATTACAGGCAATTACAGCTCTGTTAAATGGAGTACAAGGAAAGGTGGGTTTCTAGAACAGGTTCTGGAAGAGCAATCAAAGATGTGCTGTTGGCAAGCAGAACAAAATTCTGGGTGGTTTTAACACAGCTCGTGTCACGCTGGCTCAGTGTCTTCCTTGGATGTGATAAATGACTTCTGAAACAACAGGGCCTCGTCATAGAGCCCCAAGGAAATTATTATTTTGGGTGGAGACAGGAAAAAGGACAGGGAAAAGAGAGCAAAATGCAAGGAAGACACTTGGATTCTTCTGCAAGGAGGGATGTAAGGGCACATCAGGCCAGAGGTGTTCAGGGGTGCTGGAGTTTTGTATCAGAATACCAAGGTCTGAGATCTCCCAGTGTGGAGCTGCCAGACCTGTTTGCAGGGGCCACCACGGTGGCTGTGGCAACAGAGAGCCCACCAGGTGAGAACAGCTTCAAAGGAATCTGCTTCTCCTGAATGTGGTTACTCTTTATGAATCCCACCGAGAGGCAAAATATGATGGGAGAAGAACTAATGTCTAATGGTAAATGGATGTACATTTGTGTAGGAAAGCAGGGTGATGTTTCCAAGTGGAAATTGTTTATGGAGGAAATCAGGGAAGAGCTGACAAGGGCAGGGAAGCCATGAGCTTCTGTTTGTCTGTTGGGCTTGTTTGCAGCAGGTTGAATTTGCACCTCATTAGTCCCTTCTGCAGAGCTTCCAAGATTTCTCCCAGTGAAGCACTTCTGTCTAATGTCCAGCCTGAACCTCTCAACCTGCAATTTTTGTCTGGCACTACTGAGAATATGTCTCTGCTTGAAAAAGCCTCTTCTCATCCTCCTGGCAGGATTTCTGCTGTGCTTCTCTGCTCTATCTGAACAAGGAGATCCCAGGGAGCAGAGACTCCCTTCAGATCATGATTTTTAATGGATGCCATTAAACACAGCCAAATCCCAGGAGTGGGCTGCCTCAGTTTCTGCTTCTGGACAGCAGGTGAATCCCAGCAGCATCCTCCTGGCCTGTGTGCCCCTCAGTGAGAGGCAGGGCAGGGACCAGCCCTGTTCCCTGTGCACTTCCTCCTCAGGGGAGGCAGGGATGAAAGTGGCAGAGGGGAGCGGCTGGGCAGGGGCTTCCCTCGGGCTCTCCCTCACTCCTGTGGGTCCCCCATTGTTGCCCTGACAAAGGCAGCCCTGTTCCTCCCCACAACCACTCCTTGTCAGCATCCCTCAGCATTTCGGCTGCAGATTTCCTGCCCACTGGCAGCCTCTCAAGAGGCAGAACGTGGATGGAAAGGGGATTAGAGGAGCAGGCTGCTGGAAAGTGGCTCCTGGCTGTGGGGTGAGGCAGGTGCAGGCCCACTCCCCAGGAAATCTCAGGAGCAGGGTCAAGGTGTCCCCAGAAATGTTGGGATTCTCCTTCTTGAAGTCCTCCACCCTGTGCTGAGCCAGCAGGGCCCTGCTCTGTGTCCCCACTACCATGAGGTCAAGTGGCTGGCTCAAAGCCACACAAGAGCCAAGACCTGAAGCAGAATTAAGGGATTCCACGCCTGAAGCAGGAGCTGTGGCCACCACTCCATCATCCCTTCCCTGGCACTGCTGTGCCTGGCTCTGGCCTGGCCTGTTTGATGCTGGTTTTACACCACACTTTGTTTCATGGTGTGGGTCAGCTGTGAGACCCCAAGACTGCAGAAACTGAACCTTGGGAGCTGGGTGATTCCCAGGCTCAGGAGACAGGCTCTTCCAGCTCCTGTTCACCTCTTCCCCACACTGGCCAGCTGAGAGGGATGATGGCCGTGGAGCTGGAGGGTCAGCGCTGCCCTGTGTGTGGGTTTCACTGATCCTGCACAGGATCTCGTGGCCATCCATCCCCACAGCCACCAGCTCAGCCCAAGATTTCCTGGGGAAAGGCCTGGCAGCCTCTCTGAGCTGCCTCCCCTGCCCGTGCCTCGCCATGCTCTGGGGACACTCCACGTCCTCCCAGGATGGAGGAGGAAGGGGGCCCGGCTCCCCCACGCCGTGCTTTGCCTTTGGGAAAGCCTCCTGCAATGGAGCAGTGATCCCTGAAATAAACAAACCCTTCCTGGGGCTGCTAATGGGAACCATCTGGCAGAGAGGGGCCCCTGGCCCTCCGCGCTCAGGCTCCTTCCCTGGCGGAACGCGCCGGGCTGGGCCTGCACGGCTGGGCCTGCATTGGGGCGGCTCTGCACTGCTGGCTCTGCACTGCTTGGGCCTGCATTGGGGCAGCCCTGCTGGGCCTGCACTGGTGGCTCTGCACTGGGTCAGCCCTGCTAGCTCTGCATTAGGGCCTGCACTGCTGGGCCTGCACTGGGGACAGCTCTGCTGGGCCTGTACTGGTGGCTCTGCACTGGGCCTGCACTGCTGGGTTTGCACTGGGTCAGTCCTGCTGGCTCTGCACTGCTTGGGCCTGCACTGGTGGGCCTGCACTGCTTGGGCCTGCACTGCTTGGGCCTGCACTGCTTGGGCCTGCACTGCTGGGCCTGCACTGGTGGGCCTGCACTGGGGACAACCCTGCTGGCTCCGCACTGCTGGGCCTGCACTGGCTCTGCACTGCTGGGCCTGCACTGCTGGGCCTGCACTGGGCCAGCCCTGGTGGCCCCTCTGGAGAGGGGAAGGGGGAAAGGCTCCCTGCACCCCTCCCGGCTGCAGGAAACCTGACCCTTCAGAGGCAGGCTGAGGTCGGGGGGCTGCCTTGAGGGGCCACCCCAGATGTTCCCTCTCCCTCCATCTGCCCCAGGGTCAGGCAGGAAGGTGAGAGGGGATGCAGGAGGCTGTTGGGGAAAAGCTCTGTGATGGAGCAGCGTTGCTTTCCTCCCCTCAAACTGCTCCCTGCTTGGAGCTCTCAGTTGCTACAAGGGCAGGATGAGAAAGGCTGGAAGGCAAAGGGGTTCACACCTTGTCCTGAACCCAAAACCTGGAACTGCTGGCATGACCTGGAGAGGAGGACAGTCCTCCCTCCTGCTGTTCCCAGGCCAAGTGGCTAAGGCCTTTAGGGAGCTGAGGTTTGGAACAGTCAGATCTGGCAGTTATGGTGCCAGTCAGGGTGGAATTGAAGGGAAAGGGGTTTGGGGGCATGAGGAGAAGAGAAGCAAATAGTTGGTGGAAGTAAAAATGAGCTTATCAGAGAACCCCTGAATGGTTTGGGTTGGAGGGGCCTTAAAGCTCATCTCATCCCACCCCCTGCCATGGCAGGGACCTTCCACTGGAGCAGCTTCTGGGGAAGGGCAGGAGGGGTGTGGGGAGTCTGGAAACACCGAGGGGAAGAAGGTGGCTGGGGTTGGGGAGGAAGATGAGGGAAGGGAAGTTGGGGAGGACAAACATTTTTAAGAAAGGCTGGGGTGAAGGTGAAAAGCAGGTGAAAAGGGGGAGGGTTGTGCCTCCGTGTCAGTGTGGGACACAGTGTGGGTGTGCAGTGGGGACACCAGGTTTTCTGGGTCCCTCATGTCCCCTGCAGGGTCTGTGCTGGGCTGTAGGACCTGACAGACCCTGGAGGCACGAAGAGA